TCAAGGAGTGTCTATTGCTATTCTAACCCAGGATCTTCTTCAAGACTCGCTTTTTGCCTTCCCCGTATTCACTGTGTTCTTTGTTTCGTCGTGACACCAGGTTAGTTTTCCATTTATTTCTTTGATCTTGCATTATGATCACCTCATCCATTCACGACCACGTAGACATTGTAGATTCTAAGTCCACACCCCTGTATTCCCCTATTCTAATTAGGGTTCCTCCTCCTAGGGTTTCTAACCCTCTTGAATCCACAAACAGCTAATTTCAGTTCAGGCGAGGGCGTCGGGGAGAATGAATTTCTTTTATCAGCTGGGCACCTTAATGCTCTTCGATTTCCTCTTCACCCCTTCTACCACTTAGTCTTTAATAAGTTAGGTCTTGCCCCTCTTTAAGTAAACCCTAACTTTCTTCGAATAGTCTCGGCAGTTTTAGTTCGCCGAAGGCTAGAAAGTCTTAACTTGACTCTCGCTAATCTATTGATTACTTACACCATCTCCAGGTATGGGACCGAGCCTGGCCATTTTTATTTTACTTCCTCTCTTCAACAGAGGATATGTACTGACCTTCCTACTTACGAGAAAAAATGGAAAGAGAGGCTGATAATTATTAAAGGGAATTGGGTTATGTCTCAATCGAGCCAACTCCCAATCCCACGTAAATTCAGGAAGTTAGGTATAAAATATTTTCCCTCCCTTCAAGATAAGTGCTCTAGTTGCTTCCCCTATCAAGTTTTACTCTTTCATTACACTTATGAATTTCTTGGTGTTTTTTCTACAACCTTCCCCTCCTCTGTAGCTAAGAACAAGCTTACCTTTCTCAAAGAGCAGGTTTGGAGTGACCCTCCATCTGTTAAGGAATTGCTCACTTCGTCCAACCTTAAGGAAATTGCCTCCAGTGCTGCAGTTGCTGATTTTATGGACTTGGCACTTCCTTCCTTTGCCAGCTTCCCTTTTATGGACGAGGAGTAGAAGCGAGCTGAAGCTTTAAAAAAAAAGGCTGCTGAGAGCAAGCCTCTTGCTATCGTCCACTCAACTGAGCAAGAGAATGAGGCTGATGAGGCTCCTTTACATAAAAAGGTGAAGCTGAACCCTCCTTCAACAACGAAGTCCAAGGGTGTTGCCTACTCAAAGGGCAAGGGAAATAAAGTTGGAGAGACTGACCCAGAGGAAGAATTCAGAGCATATGTCTTGGTTAAAACAGGGACACCTTGGAAGCCCTCCTTCTCCAGAGCTGATAAGTCGGTTCTTCATTCCGGCGACTCTGTGGTTACTGACCCTTCTGCTACATTGTCAGTCGCTCGGGGAATGTGGCTCCCCAAAGACAAGGAGATTATTGGAAATATGGGATTGGAACAACTGCTTCCATCTGCCCCCATTCGAGCCATTGAGGTTTGTTTTTTTCCCTTCTTTGTTATTTCCTCAACTTTCTTTCCACTCTATTTACACTGTTACTGTCATTGTTGATTATGTAGAGCCTATACCATACTATGGCCTTATGTGCCACTGCTGAGGCTCAGTCATTTTCTATCAAGAAATTGGCAAGGGACCTTGCTAATGTTGAGAAAAAGTTAGTCCTTAAAACTGTGAATGTTAAGATGGCTTCTAATGTGAGAGATGTCTACAAGAGTCGTTTTGTAGTTGCTGAAGCTAAGATGAAGGAGTTGGTGGCTGAGTACTTGCGCTGGAGGGATGCCGTCAACACTTACACAACTGCTGGGAAGTAGATGTAAGAGCGTTATTCAGCATTGGTGCGTTTGTCTAGTGCAAAAGCCTTCTAGTATGGCTTCGCTCAAGATTCAGGCAATAAAGTAAAGGATCTAGATGCTTTTGATGTAGACATGGATGTGTCTTTCCCTTATGACGAGGGGCCGAAGGCTCAAGAAGCTGAGGTGCTGTTCGCGGAGATAGTGAAGTCTCATCAAGGGGATCCTACAGCGTCAAACTCTTCAGTTCCACCAACTCCAAGCCCTTCGATACCTCCAGCTTCAAGTCCGAACGTAGTGAATGCTTTTGATTCTGCTCCTTTTGACCCCAAAAGGAAGTGAACTTGTGTAATACTTACTCTGGAACATTATATTTGTTGCTTGTAGATAGTAATTTTTATATTTCCTTTTGAAAGTTTGTGTGTCTGAGAATGTTTCTGAGCTGTATATACTTACTGAGTAATTTTTCATGCGTTTAAGAAAGATTCGTTCTCCATGGAAACTTTGGATTCCTTGTGGTCCGAAGCGAAAATGGGGAGAATAGTAAGAAGGAAGTACCTATGACAGTTTGGTCACCAACTTAGGATTATGCTACCCTTTAGTGATCTAACCGTCAAGGGAACCCTTCTTGCCTTCAACTTAAACAGAGTAGATATATCAATACTCATTCTTTGTTGTACTTTTTCGATGTGGGACGAAGTACTTATCTTAGATAAATGTTTTGATGTCCTCGGACTCATGAGATCCGAGGCATATATTTAATTGGCACCCTCAGACACCTGAGGTCCAGAGTGTGTGTCTCCTCGACCTTTGTATATGCCTGGGATAAATCTTATTGATGCCCTTGAATTCTTGACTTTTGGAGCATGTGTTGCATTCATATCATCATGATCCAAGGATTTTAAAAATGAAGGCTCAAAAAAGAGGGTCCCTTGATAGTCAAGTCTCTGACTGATCAATTTTGCTTTGAGACCTATTTATCAAGGGACACCTTTCTTAGCGACTAGCAATTGTGAGATTGTACCATATATAGCACCCTTGGTTTTTATTTGATTTCAATGTGGGATAAATTTTTAATGGGCCTCACACTACTGGGCTCGGTTAGGGGGCCTGTGAGTATGATATCCATAAAAAGTATTTGCCCCTATTTAGGTTTAAACCCATTGGATTACCTTTGGACTTATGAATCTGAGGTGTTGAGTTCTACAGTGGTTGTGAATGCCTCTGGCCTCTTAGGGTCTGAAGCACAGAGTTCCTTGGCAATGAGAAGTTTGATATTGTACCGGACACTTGAGGTCCGAAGCATTGAGTTCCTCGGCTATGAGCCAGAGAGGAATTATATTGTACCGGACACTTAGGGTCCAAAGCATAGATTTCCTCGGCAATGAGCCTGAGAGGAATTATGTTGTATCGGACACTTAGGGTCCGAAGCGTAGAGTTCCTTGGCAATGAGCTTGAGAGGAATTGTGTTATACCGGACACTTAGGGTCCGAAGCGTAGAGTTCCTCGGCAATGAGCCTGAGAGGAATTGTATTTTATCCTTCGGACTCTTAAGGTCCGAAGTCTGAGGTGGAAAAATACCACACATGTAGAATAATTCACAACAAGTGAGGCCGAAGATTCAAAAACGATAGAAGGCCACGAAAAAGAGTAACTATGGCTGGGAAGTCTCCCATGCGTTTGTTTGGGAGACTATCTTCCACAGAGACTCTCTTCATGGCGTCAATAAGTGTTATTCTATGAGTATATTAACTACACAGTCTTTTTATTTCCAGTCGATGTGGGACAGAAAATAGAGTTTAGAGTGTGGGCCAAATATTTGGTCTTAAAAAAATTATTGCAAAGAATGCCCGCTGGTATCAAGGTTTTGAACACAATTTGGGCTGGGCCATTTCTGTTACTAGCGGGCCCTCTTTGCAATGCACTTAAACACTTTGATATTTCCTAATATAAAGAAATGTATAAAGGTATTTTGTTATCGATGTGGGACAACAGTAAAAGTAATTTGCTACGTAAAATATTCACCGTAGTTTGCAAAAAATGAACAACTATTGTGTCTAATTGGGAAAAGTTCCCCAAACAAACAATTTTGTCTGTTTATCCGTTTTAGTTGTTGCTTTTGTTATTTTCATAACATTAATACATAGTAGGGTACTAGTAGAGTACTAGTCTTGCCCCTTTTTACGAAAAGAAAGAAAAACTATAGAAACATGAAATGAAACAACATCCCACACCGAATATTAACACGTGTGTAGAAAGTGGCCACACATGGGTTTGGATTACTTGTAGACGCAATGTACAGTGTGGGATTCACGGGACCGTTGATCACAAGTGTACCCAACATCTTCCACACAATAGAAAAGAGGATAAAATTGTTAATATGAAAGTTTATTATATGGGCCATAAGCAGCCTTATTTGCATAAAGAAATTATCAAGAAATTGACGAATCTTCCTAATGATAGTTCCTTTTAAAGGTGTATTACATTCCATGGGTGTGTGATTACGTACCCATTAGCTTCAGTTAGTCTGTAGGCTCCTTTCCCCACCATTTCTGTGACCACGTAGGGTCCGGTCCAATTGGGTTGCAATTTCTTTACATGTGTCATTTTCTACTTCAGCACCCAATCGCCTACTATAAAGCTTCTGAACCTGACTCACCTGTTGTAACTGTTATGCAACTGTTGTGGGTACAAGGCAAGCCTAATTGCCGTGACATCTCTTTTTTCTTCCAAAAGGTCGAGGCTATGCTCGAGCTGCTGGTCATTGTTTCCTTCGAGTAGCAAGTAAGTCCGCAGGGTTGGAACTGCTGATTCTGTAGGGATGACAGCTTCGGAACCATAGGCCATAGCAAAGGGGCTTTCTCCCGTTGACCGCTGTGGGGTGGTTCGGTACACCTAAAGTACCTTAGGTAGATTCTCATATCACTTCGATTTGAGTGTCTCTAACTTTTCTTCAGACAAGCAAAAATGGTTCGGTTGGTTATTTCAGCCTGCCCATTCCTTTGCGGATGACTAACCACGGTCAACTTCTGCCTAATTCCATGTTCAGCAAAAAACTTTCTTGTACTCCTGTTGTCCAAGTTCGTACAGTTTGTCCATCATGATAACTTTTGGTACCCCGAATTGATAGATGATATTGTTCCAGATGAAACTTTTGACTTGCTCATGAGTCACACTCGAGTAAGCCTCTGCCTCTACCCACTTCATGAAGTAGTCTGTGGCTAGTAACACGTATTTCTTTTGCTCCACTGCTTTAGGTGCAAGTCTGACCATGTCAATTCCCCATTGGGCAAATGGCTATGGATTTGCCATTGTATACAAATCTTCAGCAGGCTGATGCTTTATTAGGCCATGTCGTTGGCACTTGTCGCATCTCCTGGCATACTCTTCAGCGTTCCTAGCCAGGTATGGCCAGAAGTAGCCTTGAGTTAGAACCTTATGTGCGAAGGATCTGCCACCGGAGTGGTTTCCATAATCTCCGTCATAAATTTGTTTTACTACTGTGAGGGCCTTATCAGGGCTTAAGCACTTCAGTTAAGGACCTAAGAATAATTTCCAGTACAGTTAATTATTAATAATAGAGTATTTGGCCACGGTGAACCTGAGTTTCCTTGCCTCGGCTTTCTGGTTCGAAGAATCCCATGCTTGAGGTAAGCTTCCAGCGGATCCATCCAGCATGGTTCTCGTGGAATATCTGGGATCGCCACTATCTCCTGCCTAGGACTTATACTAGGTTCGTCCAGGATATCTATTGGCACTATCCGGACCAAATCTTCGTCTGAGGAAGATGTCGCTGTGGCCAGTTGATCTACTTCGAAGTTCTCCTCAAGAGGTACTTGGTGGAATTCGATCTGATCTATTCCACATGTAGCACTCTCTACAACCTCCTTGTATGCCTTCATTCTTTCTTTTTTGGGCTGATATTTGCCTATCACCTGATTCACAATAAGATGGGAGTCATTAAAAACCTTTAGACACCTTACCTGGAGCTGGTTTGCTATCCGGAGCCCGGCGAGCAAGGCCTCATACTCGGCTTCATTGTTAGTGGCAGGAAAGTCAGACGGATTAACTGTTGTAGCTTAGTGCCTTCAGGGGTTGTGATAACGATTTCGGCCCCGGCACTAGTTAGGTTCGAGGAACCGTCTACTCGAAGCTCCCATTGTGGTTCGGGAGGGTCTGGCTCTTCGGGATTATCTTCATACTCAAGGAGGAAGTCAGCCAATGTTTGGCCCTTATGTGACACCTTTGGCTCATAAGATATGTCAAAGGAACTGAGTTTGATTGCCCACTTAGTTATTCTTCCGGACAAGTCTGGCTTGGAAAGAATAACTCGCATGGGGTAGTTGGTTAAAACTACGATGCTATGAGACTCAAAATAGTGCCGAAGCTTCCTCTTTGCATGCACCAATGCTAGTATGATCTTTTCTGCTTTGCTATACCTTGTTTCAGCATCTTTCATTGTCTTACTTGTGTAGAAGACTGGGTACTGATTCCTTCCTTCTTCTCTGATCAGTATGGCACTTGTGGCTATGCCGGAGGTTGCTAAGTACATGATGAGAGTTTCACCAGGCTTTGGAGCGGATAGAATTAGAGGTTCAGCCATGCAGCTCTTCAATTAATTAAGAGCCATTTGCTTCTGAGGTCCCCATATATTTTTGTTCTTGGATCTTATTGCATCAAAGAATGTTTTGCACTTATCTGATAACCGAGATATGAAGCGGCTGAGAGCTGCAATTCAGCCAGTTAGAACTTGTACTTCCCTGCGAGTTTTTGGTTCCTAAATTTATATGAGGGCCTGAGCTTGCGCTGGGCTAACTTCTATTCCTCTCTTATTGACAATATGGTAGAGGAATTGCTCTGAAGAGACCGCGAAGGAACACTTAGAAGGATTCAACTTTATGTTATACATTCTCAGAGTGTCAAAGATTTCCTAGAGGTGCTTAGGATGATCCTCTTTCTTCACACTCTTAACCACCATATCGTCAATGTAGGCTTCAACCCCAGTATCTCATCGAAGATCTTGTTAACAAGACGTTGGTAAGTTGCCCCAGCATTCTTCAGCTCGAAGGGCATGACTCTGTAACAGTAAATGCCTTTCTATTTAATGAAGGCGGTTTTTTCTTCATCCTCCGGATTCATAGGGATCTGATTGTATCCGAAATATGCATCAAGGAATGTAAGGCTCTCATAAGCAGTGGTAGCATCAACCATGTGATCTATCTTGGGTAGTGGGAAGCTATCCTTAGGGCAAGCCTTGTTGAGATTGGTAAAGTCTATGCACACTCTCCACTTTCCATTCTTCTTCTAAACTACCACCACGTTCGAGAGCCATTGTGGATAATGCACCTCTCGGATGAAGCCTGCTTAGAGCAGTTTGCTTACTTCTTCAGTAATGATTCGATTGCGCTCAGGAGCGAACCTTCTGTGTCTTTGCTTAACTAGTTTAAACACCGGATCCACCTTCAGGCTATGGCATGAGATTAAAGGGCTGATTCCTACCATGTCCGAATGATCCCAGGTAAACACATCTGCGTTCCGTCAAATGACATCAACTAACACTTATTTCTCTTCGGCTGTGGGGGAAAAGCCCATATAAGTTATTTTTTTAGGATCACCGAGGACAACTTCGATGGTTTCGAGAAATTCTTCGGTAGGCTTTATAGCTTCGGCTTCCTCCTCTGTTTTCAGATACTTAGGCAGAGGGCTCTGTAGTTGCTATTTGGACTGCTTACTTATCTTCTTTGCTTCATTCAGTGTCAACATGTAGCATTCTAAGGCAACGACCTGATCTCCCCATAGATTAATAACCTTCTTTCCGTTCGAAGACAAACATCGCATCACCTGATGAAGGGTAAACGGGACCCCGTTCATTCGGTGGATCCAACCTCTTCCCATAATGAGATTGTAGGAAGGATGGATTTCTGTTAGAATAAAGTTTTCCTTCAATGTCCTTTTTGCCGTAGTGACGGACAAATCAATCACCCCAAGGGGGTCTACCTTTGTAACATCGAACCCCATCAAAAGACTAGAGGTAGACCGAATTGATGATGACGGGATCTCCAGTTGCTCAAAGACCGCCTTTGTGATAATATTGGCGCTGCTACCTGGGTCCACCAAAACTCTTTTGATCATGCAATTTGTGTAATGACCCGGCCTTTTTCCTCCTTTTCCATTTTTGACGATTTTCTTTTTTTTGTCTTTTTCCTATTTTGTCTTTTCCCTATTTCGTCTTTTTCCCATTTCTTTCATTTTTCCTTGTATAACCTTACTTGTTGTGCTCGGATTTGATTCCAGTTTTGCATGCATTCATGGTATTTAAATTCCATGACATCTACATTTTTACTTTTGTAGAAATACATATTAAATGCTTACTTTCTTTATAAAAGCCATGAAAACAAGACTTTTTATAATTATCCATAACTTGAGGGGTTTTTGGGTAATTAAGTAAAGTAATTATTTTTCATCTTAGGGACCATTTTGTAATTTAATTTGGAAGATATTTTCAAAAAGGACTTGTTTGCAATTTCTGAAAAGTGTGACAAGTGTCACATTCTCATTGGTCCACTTGTTGACATATGTGTGGAAACACTTTGATGCCTTGGATGATGACATGTGGAGGGTGGAGATTCACCCACTTGTTGGCCTAAGATTGGTACACTTGTTGGCATGGATGGTTGACAAATGTAGGTTCAATATTAAGTCTTGGAAGTTTACATAGGATGGTGACAAGTGTAGGCTTGAGATTAAGCTTAGGAATGAACCATAGATTCACGACAAGTGTAGGTTCACCATTTAGTCTTGCATTGTGTGTGTGTGAGAGAGGTAGTGTAAGAGCACATAGTGAGTGGAGGATTTCTAGCCCTTCCACTCACCATTTTACACTTTATCATTTTCATTTTCACTTTATCTTCAAGAACCATAACCTAGCCACCATTGGAGAAAAGCTTGGTTAATAGCTTTTTTCTTCATTTTGGCCTCCTTCCACTCACCTTAGACATAAAACCTTGGAAGACAAAAGCTTCCTCTCACTCCCCTCTTCATTAACCCTAAACTTGTTTTCCATTTTGAGCTTGGTTGCTTGGATTATAGAGATTCAATTCTCTATTGAGGTAGGGGGTGTTATCATTTATCTTCCAAGTGATTTTATTTGTTCCTATAGTGATATCTAAGTTATATGTTTGTCTTGTATTAAAATGAGAAATAAATGATTAATTGTGACTTGTATGTAATTCACTTTAGATTTGATAAATAACATGATCATGGCTTGATTCATAACTTATGTTAATTTGAGGTCATTTAGAGTTGTTTTAAAATTTAGAGGGATTAATGAATTAATTTAATTAATTATTATTTATATGCTCCCATGACTTAAATCAAGTTTTGAAGTGATTTATATAATAACCATGACATGTACTACAACATATATTAAATTGAGCATGTTTGAATGAGAAGTGAAATCTAGGGAATTTAGTTGTTTTATTTAATTGTTTAAATTATGATTTTAAACTTATATCATACTTGTGAGGCTATGTTCTTGTTGTTGAATGATATTGTTGTAATTAGTGAAAATTGCATAATGATCATTCAATATTCTTCATGCCATTTTAGTTGAGAACTTAGGGCATGTATTGTGTTTCCAAAATTGATTTGTGCATGTTGATGGCTTTACATTGTATATATATATATATGTGTGTTATGTTGATACATATATGTAATGTGCAAAAAATGTTGATTTTGGAAACTTGGGGATGTCGTTGTTATGACTATGGCTAGGGCATGATTCTAGTACGGGGGAAAGTCCCTCTATAAGTCTAGTGCGCACATAAGGAGGTTATCCATGGGCTAGTAACCCTAAAGTAACCACATTGCCAGTTTGATCCGGCGTGACGTCCAAGTATCCACTTTGGTTTGATTTTGCATTTAAATTCCAAGTTGTTAACTTTGTAAAATTACATCTCATTATGTTATATTGAAAGTTCTATTGTCACTTGAGAGCATGAATTAAATGGTATTGGATTGTAACTTGGTATAAAGATAAACCCATGCATTCCCTACGAGTAAACTTGTTTACTCACCCCTAAGTTAATGGATGTTTTGCAGGTAAAGAAGCCTTAGTGTGGGATGCACAGCATTCTTAGACTCACTAGAGTTCTTGAAGTATTTTTGATGACATAGAATATGCATATGTTAGCATATCTTGTCCTACTTTTGCTTACTTTGATAAAACTTGTACTTATTGTCTAAGTTATGTAATGTGCACTTAAGTGCACCTTTTGACACTCTTAGAATGTGGTTGTAATGAGGCCAAGGGCCAAAGACACTAATGTGAAATGTATGCTAACTTTGAACTTCATTGTTGCCTATGGAAGATATGTGGATTAATGCATTGAAGGGTTCTATTTTGCATATGACATGCCATGAGGCCATAGGCCATTGCAACACATCTATTTTATCACATTACATATGTTTGCATGCTCACTTTGGCAAACAAAACCATTCTTGATGAAACAAAGACTCTAAGTGGCATTTTTAGGGAGTTTTACCCTATTCTGTTCTAGGGGAATTTCGGGTATTTCAAAATGCGTTTTTTTCATTTTTCCTCGCAATTCACATAGAAAAATCAATTTTGAGGGGGGTTTCTTCTTTGCGTTTTTCCAGAAACTGCTATCTTGGCCCTCAAAAATTGATTTTTTTCCAAAAAATCATTGCTGCCAGGTTTTTGCCGACTTTAGTGCAAATATACTTGGTACTATTCATCGACTTTTTTTTGAAAAGCGTGACGACTGATCCGAAACTTCCGGGGGTCTTGTGGGTGTATTTTAAGATTGCATTTTAATTTAGGCAATTTAAAAACCTTCCGAAGCCCCATTTCCTTTCTTTGGGTAGTAGCTTGGAACGATTTTTGACCTCTAGACCTGATTTTCTTAAGGGTATTTTGGACATTTTTCAATGCATTTTTTTGGTTTCTGTCCACGCGACGGGTAGAAAACTTGCTTTTAGGGGGGTTTTCTTCTTTGAGTTTTTTCAAAAAAAGTCCGTTTAGATGCCCGTTTTTACTCTCAGTTGTAGCAGTAGAGGGTTGACGGCACTGTAGCTATCACGGCCTTCGTATGGCCGCCGCGACGTTGATTTTGTTTTTGACCTTTCTCCCTCATCCGGACTCCAAATCAAGTGAGTTTTTTTTTTAAAAATTGATTAATTTTTCATTGTCTATCCAACGGTGTGCTCGGTTGCACCCAGATATTTCTAGATAATTACCAGTTTACCCTTTTAGCTTTATTGCTCGTTTTTCTTTGTTTCATCGTTTCTCCTTCGTCCGGAATTCGGATAATGAAATTCTTAATTCCATCATCATTAGTTTTTCATTGTCTTCCCAGTGGTGTGCTCGATAGCACTTGAATCCTTTTTTTTTACAAAATGACCATTTTGCCCCTAGGTTCCTTTTTGTCCGTTTTTGAAATGACACTTCCGCATTTGTTTTCCTTTGGGTTCCATGACCTCATTGAGGGTCACATTGGTGTCTTAGAGACGCATTGTATCTCTAGAGACCGTTGTTTCACCTTTCGCTTCCGCGTTTCGGATTCGTTATCGGGTCATCTTTTGGTCATCACTGACGCACCGGGTTTACAAAACTTGGGCCATCACAATTTGCCACTAGAGGACTGATAACTAGCGGATCCTCGTAGGGAAGCTGAACTCTGGATAAATCTCTATCACTGAACCTAATACTGATACTACCTGAAGCGATCGTATTTACCGAGGACAACTTCCTTAGCTTGTGGGTTATCCTTAGTCTGGATCGATATACCTCTTCTGACTTATGATCGTCTTCTGACCTCCCATGTATCGCATGAATAACCTTTACTTGGGTTCCTTCTACTTTCCGAGGATTGACTTCCCTCGGCCTTGCCTGCTCTTTTGGTGCAAGGTAGTTTGCCAAATCTCCTCTGGTTATCATATTCTCCACCTGTCGCCTGAGGGATCTGCAATCATTGGTTATATGCCCATAATCTCTGTGGTAGGCACAATTTTTGCTTTTGTCCCTTTGCTCCAGAGGTTGCCTCATTGGCTGAGGGGCTGTAAATCTCAACTTGTTTTCTTGGAATAGCCGGGCCAAGGTGGTACGAAGATGTGTAAACCTTTCCTCTGTCTTTTGCCTCTTATCAGGTACCTGAGCGATCGGTGCCGAGGCATGCTGGCTTCTTTGACTTTTTGAACTTGAAGCTTTTTCTCGAGGTTTATTCTCCACAGTGGCGAGGGTGACATGCTGTGCTCGGTGGGCTACATTCTCCTCAAGTCAAATGTAGATCTGTGCTCTAGCATTGAGAGTCTGCATGTCTGGAGGGGAATATTTGACTAGGGAGGTATGGAATTTGGTACCCTGAATCATACTGATCTTGAATGTCTCTATAGCAGTCTCAAGATGGCAATCTGCTATTTCCGAGGCCTCCATATTGAATTTGGATAGGTAATCCTGTAGCGTTTCTCCTCTCTTCTACCTTATTATGAAGAGGCTAGAGATTGTCTTCTTCTGCTTCTTGTTTCCTCAGTATTGTACTAGGAACATAGCGCACAAAGTTTCATGGATGGATTTGTGTGGCCTATTCTTGAACCATTTCAAGGCGGCTCCCGTTAAACTAGTCGGGAAAACCTTACACATGAACGTATCGTTGTGATTGTCTAGAGCCATTTTCTGTGAATAGTGGTCGACGTGGCGAAAAGGATCTCCTGTACCATCAAACTGAGTGAAGGAAGGCATGGTGAACTTCTTAGGTTTATTAACGAAATATATGTCGTCGGTGAGCAAAGTCTTCACTAGAGAGTTCTTATGCTCTTTGGCCATCTCGGCGAGTGTCTAAATCCTTAGGAGCCTCTTCTCATCAAAGGCATCCTAGGCGCCAGCGCCATCCCGAATACCATTAGACTATACCGTAAGCTTACGGCTGGACTCGGCATGTTCATCCTGCATGCGACGAGGATGGTTGTCCGAAGCGACCACTTCGGTCCTTGTCTTCTGCTCTTGCTGAACTTCATTAGGCCGAACCTTGTTAGGCTGAACCTCATTAGTCCGAGCCTCATTAACTTGAGGTTCGTTACCAGGAGGAAGGTTTTGATTAGGCGGAGGTGCTACCGTATCACCTGGTGGTGGTTGTGGTGCAATCTGGGTCATCGTTGCTTGCAAAGCATCGTTCCTCTGCTAAAGCGACACAATCTGAGTTGTACTGGCCTCGTTCGCTTGACGAAGCATTTCGAATTATTGCAAGAACTCTTCTCGCATCTTTGACATTAACTCCATCTGTTGATCAGCTGCTGCTGCGGATCCTCCAATTGACATTCTGGATCGTAATAACATAAACGACTTGAACTACTTGTGAGAGTATATTTCTATACAGTTCCCACAGACGACGCCAAAATGTAGGTGCAAAATTTCTCTCTATAAAAGAAATTATACAACTCACTCAAGATGAAAAATAAATAACAAGAAGAAAAGCGTATATTGCTCGATGCCCCTTATTGGAGGTCTCTGCCTCTATTTATATACAAAAAAGGTGGTGAAATTATGGTAGGACTCGCCTTGCTTGTCCTTTAATTCATTCCATATACACCATTCTTTACAAATAGGATTCTTTCCTTTACAATTCTTTCCATGCCAGACTTTCCCTACATAGAACTTTCCTTCTATGTTGGATCCTTTGATTAACAGGACTAGTTCCTTCTTTAAATGAATTTGGGCCGCATGCAACTTGGTCCACATGACTTCGTTAATGGGCTGGAAGTTAAACATTAGCGACTTTGGGCTGTTGGCATCTTTATCCGGGCTTGAACAAGGCTGGGCTTTCGTAAACAATCAAGAGATTAAAAATAGAACTTATATTGTGGCTACGTGGATGACTTTTATTGGAGGGGGGATTTTTCCCTCCACAATAATCTTATAATTATTAATTTCAATAAGGATTGTAACGAAATTGATTGCAATAAACAACTTATATATATTTACATTCAAATTTATTTTTATTTGAAATCCATCTATTTGTCAAATATAAAACTAAATAATTGTAGCAATTTTTTTCTTCCAAACATTTTTAATTTATACATTTAATAGCATGTTTATAAATAATATGAAAAATAAAAAAAATGAAAATAAATCTATGCGATAAATGAGATTGCAAAATGATATTGTGACGAAATTTATGTGGTTACCATAAACAATTTAAGGGACAGAGTAACAAAATTATATATATACATATACCTTGTTAGTTATTATCTAGATAATTTCATAAATTTGATTGCATAAACTATGTTTGAATTATTTAAAGAATACTTGGTTGCCTCAAAAGTTATGTTTCTCATAATTAATTTTGTCAACTTCTATTCGATCCGTAATTGTTCATGCCTCTTAGCAAGACAAAGTTACAATATAGCAGCATACCCATCTAAAATAGTTCCCTGAAATGGAGATATTGATGAGAATTCTACCTGAAATGGAAACGATAGTTTTTTGATATTTTTGAAGATAATATTTACCTACTCATTAGTGAGTAAGTGAGTAAGAAGTTTATACATACATGATCAAAATTAGTGAAACACGTTTTCCTATATAAAAAATAATAAACAATACTTGTGTCTTTAGCAAAAGTAACTTGAGAAGTGTCCTAAAATAAAAAAATGATAAAAAAAATAAAAAAATTGAATGCTTATGTCCATCCAAAAGGATGGAACTCAAATCCTAATTTAACTGTCTCCCCTCTCTTTCAAACTATTTCGGTTAAATTCAAATTTGCTAATACTGAAAATTTTAATTTTTAGCTTTCATGGTTTAATATGTAATATTTATACATACTTATCAATTATTTTTACCTAAATACACCCAATTATATAAAATCTGGTTTACATGATGATTTGATAGAATATTTGTTGATTGCAGGATAGATTATTATTGTTTATTTCTTGTCTTCTTTTTCTTTTGATAGAAAACAAATATCTATAATTATTTTTTCTATTCATTCATTTAGAACTTTGTTTGTATATTGTAATATTATTTTATTTAAAAAATTTAGTTAAAATGTTTTTTTCCGATCAGATTCTCTTCTCATTTACTTATGGACAAAACTAAAAGTGTGAGAGGGAGTTAGATTTGGATCGTAAAAATAATATATATATATATATATATATATATATATATATATATATATATATATAATTGATGAGAAAATTTTAAATTTTATTAAGTGGTTGCTCGTTATATTAATGATTGCATTTAGATTTATAATATTTTTAAAAAATGAATAAAAATTATTTTATATATATATATATATATGAAAATATATATAGTTTTTAGCTTTACAAAATATATAATTTTCTTATCCCAAACAAATAAATTGCAAGTATTTATAAAACAAGAAATTTATTTAATTTTTATCCCAAATAGATAAATTTTTATACAAATTAAATAAAATGGTCATTTTACCTGATCTATTTATACTTATTAATTTATTATCCTAAAATAAAGTTCTTATTATCATTTTAACTATATTTCCACCTATAATAGTACGAGTGTTTTAGGGCCTGTTTGTTAACTGTTTTGCTTTGGTATTTTTGTTGCAGGGTTTCATTTCAGGCTCAAAAATATGTTTGGTAGCACTTGTTTTGTTTTAAACAGTAATAAAACATTGTTTTAAACAGTACTAAATTTGGGCCCAAAAGTGAAACACCAAAATGGTATTTTTTGTTGTTTCAATACTGTAACCCAATAAAAAGCAATGTAGCGGATGAAGTAAGGGCCCATTTGGCATGCGTTTTACTTTAGGCATTTTGTTTTTGGCTAAAACAGAAACAATGTTTTTACTATTGCGGTATTTTGGCAAAAATCGGAAGCACGTTTGGGAACGATATTTTGTTGTGGAAATGTCGAAAACAGAAACATGAAAAACATGTTTGGTAAGCCATGAGTTTCAAGAATTTTGAAAACAAAACATATTTGGTAACTTCAACTGTTGTATAAAAATAAAAAATAATAATAAAAAAAAGAAACAGAAACAAAAAACATGTTTGGTTATCATTGTTTTTAATTTATTTTTGTAAATTTTAAATATATTTATAAATTTATTTCTATATAAATAGTATATATATATTTTAATAAATATATTGAAATTTGAACACACAAACATATATATATATATATATATATAATTTGACATGTAGAGTTCCATCTTTTTACTATGTTCTTATGATCTAGATATTAAGATCACCTTTTTTATTTCTAATCCATTTATTTGGAGTCAAACTTCACAAAACATCTATCAAGGAGTCATAACATTAAAATAAAATAAAATAAAATAAAAAAAAAAGCACCCTGCTAGAATGGAAGCTTGCAAGGAAACTTCTCAAATCATATTCATTCTTCTGTATTAGGAAAAATGACAAAGAAATTGAGAACAAATTAAACAGTAGATTAAATTAAATATGAAATATAATTCAAAGTTCAAACACAATTCACTTCATTGTTTACAAATTTCAACAATAGGATTCAAAAACAAAGCAAAAGATGCTTAACAAATAAAAAGATGTTTCCTTATGTTTTCCTTCACTGTTAGGAAGGTATCAGAAAAACTCAAAAGATTTTACAGGAGACAACTTAAAAAAAGCACAAATTTCACTTCCATGGAACAAGTTTCAATAGTAGGACACGTCATCTTCATAACAGCACACATCACCATAACAGCACACTTCACCTTCAAGAGAGTATCAACACACTTCATATCTGCAATGGTAGAATTTAAGTTGAAAAATATTAAAAATAATATCAGTCAGTAATAGTAAAAGCAAAATAGTAACAACAAAAATGATATACAGTACATATATATATTACAAGCCCACAATAGCAACAAATATATTACACAGAAAAGAAAAAACACACCAACAGTTTCAAGAAGATTAAGAGTGCCCAAGAGAATTCCATATTCGATCAGCAATACTATTACGCAACTAATTCATTTCTCGAAGATGAGCCGAAAGCACATGCTCAACAATCATATCAATCTAACAGATTAATAACAACACTCTTAA